GGGTGGGTGGGTGGGTGAGTGGTTGGCTGGTTCTGGCTTTTTGGAATGAACAAAATGTAGTGGAGATGCTGATATTCCAAGGTAGAGGATGCTATGAATGCGGTTGTCTCAGGTAAAGGCTTCTGCTGGTATTTACTACCTGGCTTTCTGGGCTACTTCTTAGATGAAAGTCTTTGAGACTCAGAAGACCCTAAGCCCTAGGATGCCATCTGTCACCTGCTCAGGCAGCTTATGGGGATTCTGTTTGGTGAGCAGAACAAACTAGGTAATTGCAGCTTATGATAATGCCATGAAGAGTGTAAAGGAACTGGTGCTACTTTGGATGAACAGTCCTTCACCTCTGTTTTTAAAGAACTGAAAGACTCAAAGCTTTTCAAATTTGTAAGACCTCATTGTTTGCAGTGTCAGTACTTGTCATTCATTTAATCCCTTACCATGTCCAGACGGGAGTGGGAGATAAAACTCTCCAGCACTGTTGATTATACTGGTCTTACCCATCCTGCTCCAGCAAAGACACACCTGGATCCTTATACTTTTGCTATTTGCACAATTCCAAGATATGAGCATTGCCAATAAGTGGAACATACTGCAGTCTTTAAAGAGAAAATACACACAAGTATATACTGTATGATTTCTGCCTCGAAGAAAGACTACAAACTACAGTTTGATTCATATCTGGACTTACAATCACTAGGGAATATGAGATAGAAATATTTTTTAAATAGTTGGAAAATGCACTGTCTGTTCATTTCCTCTGATTACACTCACACATAATCAATGATCACCTTCTGTTTCTTTCCCTCAAGCCTCTTTAACATTGTGATCTTCTCCATCCTCTTGATTTTGCCCAAGTTTAAGATGGTCATTGTTGACCATCTAATCTAGTCCTTGCTGAGGTGGAACACAATACCCTAAAGATACACAAAACAATCCCTTAAGAAGCAAGAGGAAACTATTTCTATTTGTGTTTTTAAAAATAAGACCAAATTACATGTAAACAGAAGACCACTGACATTCAGGTACTAGGTAGAGAAGGGATGCATCTCAAGAGGAGTGGGTGATGGGTAGTCCTGAGCGCCTGGCACCTTCACTGTTTCAACCATTTTATTTCACTTCGAGAGTAATTATAGTTAGTGGCAGGGTTTGTGGCCCTATTCTCTTAGAAACTGCTGTACTATGTGGGGAGCTTCTTCTAACACATAGCATAGAGAAAAGCCTGCAAGACAGGACAACTGCAATCATGAACTCATATCAGTTGTGCTTTTCTGCACAAGAGTAGGGCTGTCCACCATTAGACATGGATGAGAGAAGGGTTCAAGAGGCCTGACCCCTTAGGGCTGAACTATTATTGACTATAGATAGATTCTGGGAGACAGGGAATTACAGCCTTCAGCTGTCTATCCACCAGTGAGGCCCACTCCAATGAATAACTCTAAACTGATGGTCACACAGATGGCCTTGGTTATACTCAGCTGATTACAAATAAGTTAAACTATATATGGATCTAGGAAAAGGATTTGTGGGGAACGGGGGGAGGTTGGTAGGAATGCACAGAAGATAAAAGAGACGGGGTGAGAGAGTAAGCAATGCATTATATACATGTACAAATTTGTCAAAGATAAGCTTAGTTGATTTTAAAAAAGAAGAGCAAAACTGGACTGATCTGAGAGGAGTTTTCTAGAACTTTGGAACACAGAGGAAGACAGTAAAAGATCCATTCAAACCAAGTTATACTAGGAAAACAGTGAAATCCTAGTATATAGAGTAATGGCCCAGATCCTGAGCATGGTTTTGATTAAATTGGTCCTGAAGGGCCAGTACGGCAAGTTGAGAGGCCTAAGGAGGAGAAATGCATGGAGGTGAAGGGGAGGGGAGAGTTAAATCCCTGTGTTCTACAGAAGGAAATCAGTGTTAAAATATGAAACAAACAAATGGAGAGATATAGATAGTTATGGAAGGAAACAGTAGAAGTTGTAAGTGATTGCTTCTGGGCCACCAGAAAGTGGACTGCAGAGAGGAATGAGATAAGTCTGACGTCCATGCTACCAAGCTTCTAGTGGTTTTGTTCACTTCTTAAGAAATAAGGGTCTGTGGCCCAGGCGTGGTGGCCTTTAATCCCAGCACTCAGGAGGCAGAGGCAGGCAGATCTCTGAATTCAAGGCCAGCCTGGTCTACATAGTGAGTTCTAGGCCAACTGGGGCTACAGGGATACTCCAACTCAAAAAGACAAAAAGAAAGAAAGAAAGAAAGAAAGAAAGAAAGAAAGAAAGAAAGGAAAAGAAATAATAAATAAGAGTTTGGAGAGATGGGTCAGGGGTTAAGAATGCTGCACACGCATGAGGACCAGAGTTCAGACCTCAGCACCTATATAACAAGCCAGATGTGCTCCTGTGCAGGCCTATAAGACAGGAAGTTCACTGGGGCTTGTTGGCTATCAACAAGATGAAAAAAATGTGAGCTCTGGGTTCAGAGAGGGACCCCAACCTCAGGGGAACAAGGCAAGGGATGGTAGAGGAGGACACCTGTTGCCTCCTCTGGCCTCTGCACATGTAGAGCTATGCACACCCAATACACCACACATACATACACGTACACACAGAAGCCACACAAACACATATATCACATTCACACACATACATACACACACAAAATAAAAATAACTTTAAAAAAGAAACACTATGTATAATATTAATACATTTTTAATTAACTTTAAAAACAAAATGTAGGAAGAAAAGTCGATGAAATTGTCAACACTTGAAAGGTCAGTAGGGGCAAAGTAAGAAATGAACTGTGTTATTCCTCAAATTCCATACATAGTTTTTATCTTACAAAGCATGTATTAACTAACCATGCATGGCCTGTGACATCTCTTAAACTTTTGTCTTGAACCTGTGTCAGATCTTGATTGCTTCCTTTCCCACAAATCTTCCCCTAATTAGATTTGAAGGTCCCAGAGGAAATGGACTTTTCTCATAGTTTTGCAATCCCCTCACCTCAGAAGAAATTAGCAAATACCAATACATATCTGATGCACTGTAACTGAATATCAAATAGCCATGGTTTGGTTGTTGTTTGGTATAAAAGCCAAAAGAGAATTGTAATGTTCTATGTATTTCTTGCCCTCATAAAGTATTTTTGTAAAAGAACAGTCATCTAGCTGGGCGTGGTAGCGCATGCCTGTAGTCCCAGCACTTGGGAGGCAAAGGCAGGCAGAGCTCTGTGAGTTCAAGGCCAGCCTGGTCTACATCGTGAGTTCTGGGACAGCTGGGGCTACAGGGAGACCCTGCGTCAAAAAGACAAAAAAAAAAAAAAGTCATCTGTAAAAGTGAGCAAAAGCAAGCTTGCTCACTTATGTACCATCTTTTTTTCAAGGTCGTTTCTCAAAGAAGAATTTAACTTCTAACAGGCACAAATCTGGAACGACATTTATTCTTCAGTCCCTGTGATTTTTTTCTAAGAAGTCTTCTTTTTATTTTAGCTTGGAAACTTAATAACATTTTTATTGATTGATTTTTGTCATCAAGATATGAGATCTCACTTTCCATTTTTACACTTTCTATTTTTTAGTTGCCCTGTTTTCTTTTCACTTTGTTTTGAAAGAGAAGCTCTTTGTGTTTACAATGGCAAAGGAAAGAACACGTTGAAATGCAATGCTTTCCATAATAACTAGAGTTCTCCAAATTCTAAATTATGTAACTCACTTTAATAGCATTTAGCATGCTGGTGATAATTACTATGGTAGTCTTGATTTCTCTTCTAAGTACCTCTTGAAAAGAGGGAATCTTTGTGTTTATATCCTTGAGTTTGTATTACATTTATCAACGAAAATAAACTCCTAAAATAAGCATTTGTTGCTCTCAGCTATTTTCAAATTAGTCACTTGAAAAACCCAGGGCATATCACTGCCAACTTTCTTGGTTTAGATAAAATGTCTTTGTTTTCTTTGGCTCTTTATGATCATCACAAGATTATACTCTAGTAGGAAATTTGTGGCAAAGGTCTTTCATGCCTGAAGTACACAGGTATATTGAATACATAATTTTCTAGATAGATCCTAGGAAAACTTACTATTTTTATTGAAGTATAATTGACATGCAATGACAGTTCTTAACTGTACAGTTTAACTACTCTATCCTGGCTAAGCCTAGGAACACTTTCACTATCCAGGAACTTCCCTCATGCCTCACTCTCCTAGAAAGAACTATGTATCTTTTGGCCAAGTGTGGTGGTGCATACCTTTGGTCCCAGCACTTGGGAGGCAGAGGCAGGTGGATCTCTGTGAGTTCAAGGCCAGCCTGGTCCACATAGTGAGTTCCAGGCCAACTGGGACTACAGGTAGACCCTGACTCAAAAAAAGACTAACAACAACAACAACAACAAAAAGAACCATGTATCTTTTGAATCTTGTCGCATAAAAATCTAAGAGCAAAATTTGCCAGGTTACAGAGCATATATATGTTTATAGGAAATATTGCCAAACTGTTTTCTAAAATGGTTGCCTAGTTTCTATATATAAGACCCTCCTCCCAACCATTTTTCTTAGTGTGTGTGTGTGTTTGTGTGTGTGCATGTGCACACGCATTCTGTGTGTTTTGCTGGAGATTGAACCCAAGGCCTTGCATATGCTAGCAAGCATTCTACCACTGAGCTACATCCACAGCCCTTAGTGTTTTGATACAGGATTTCACTTGGTAGCTCAGTCTGGCCTCGAACTCAAGATCTTTGTGCTGCAGGCTCCCCAGTGCTGGGACTTCAGACACGTGCCACCACACCCAGCTTCACTGTCAGTCTGAGTCTAGT